GTGGATGTGGGTGTTGGATAAGAAACGAAGCACCCACACCTCACACCCACACCCACCCTAAGTGCGTTTAAGTGATAAAACTTGTGTTTCGCGTGTTGATGATGAACGTTGACCATTTCTTGTTAATGTAGAAAGATGAAATTAAAATCTATTCGTGTATATGTTGTATCAACTTTTCATAATTCACGACATGAATTTTCTTCAAAATTCCATACTTGAAATATATAAGCTGATATAGTATCAATTCTATCTTGTAATAATCATAGACCTAGTAATCATGTCAAAGTTATTGATTGACTTGACTTTTTTAATTTCAACATCACGTGAGTTTGGCAAGGAAGTGATGAGTGTGGATGTAGTTCTTCTCCCAGTCTCAACCCGACCCCGACATCCACCCACACCCACACCCACATCAACTTTCATCTGTTGTCACCGTCTATCAATGTATTGACATATGCCTTTTACAATGAAGATGATGAACGTAAGACAAACAAATAATCTAAAAGAAAAGTATATTACCGAATCTTTGAAGACTTTGCAAATGGGTACGAAATTTTCTTAAGTTTCGCGAAACAAAAGTCTTTTCGAGTTTTCAATGCGAAATGTTTTTAGATTCAGTAAATTTCGACAGACATGCCATCTTTCACAGGAAATGTTTTGTAAATTTAGCGAAATAAAATACAGTTTCGCACTACATAAACGCAATTTTTGTGAGTTACCAGAACGAAAGAAAAGTTCGACTTTTTTCTAGCAGAACGTTGTGTACTCAGATGATGTAATAAAAGATTTTGTACTTTTCTTACAGAACTCTTTGTGTCCTGCAAAAAGAGAAAGGATTCCTTATATTAATCTACAAAATCTTTTGTGTGGGAATATATGTTAACAGATTTGTCCGAAAACTTTTTGGCATGAGTGAGCAACAAAAGATTTTACATAAAACTTGTTTGTGTCGACATCATGTCAAAAATGTCTCACGTAAAATATTTCATTTAAGCGGTAAATGAAAATGATTTCTAACGTACTAAATGTACAATACCGATATTTCATGATTAAAATAATACTTTTTGTTATCCGTTATTGTCATTAACCGTTACACTGATTAAGAATTATTAGAATTTTCCATTAAGACTTAGAGTCATGATATCAAGATATTTGATGCAGAGAGTCGTTGCTTTTACCGCTGCTTTGGATCCTTCTTTGCTCGCTTATATGTAACATAGTCCAACATTTATGTTGTATTCCTAACAGGTAAATATGTGTGTTATCGTTGTCTTGAGAGAATGATAACGGTTTTCTTTTTCGCACTAACAAGTGGCAGTTAACTGTGAATGTAAGAAGTTTATTATTGATATCTAGAAATAGTAACTTTCTATTTTAATATCGTTTAATTAAAGTGATAATGAGTATAAGATCACCGAATGATGATAACAGAATAAACATATAGAAGATGCATTTACATATTTATTAAAATGAACTCATCCTTATGAATATCAAAGTAAAAATTGTTTAGCAGAAAACGAATATCCTTTAATTGGTTTACCAAATGGTACATGTACATTTTATATTTAGAGAAAAATATAAATATTAGGATTTATATGTAAATGTTAAAATGTTTTATTTCACATTTAGTGTGAATTTTTGGAATTGTTTTTAGTTATTATTTTATTCAAAACATTATCAATTATATTGCGAAAAATATTTCATTATATTTTATTTCTCAATCTTCTTCTTTATTGAATATATTTTTATCAGAAAAATAATAAAATAAGTATTTTCAAATAAAAAATAACATCTCTTAGCTGTTTATCGAAGATGATGTTAGAAAAAAAATTTTCATATTTAAATAAATTCATTTATTTTTGTTCGTTTGATAGGAATTTCATTCCAAAAATCAATACTAATACCCTTTCTTATCAAGGTTATTCAATGTACTGCATAACTCATTGTTTCTTCTATGTAAAACGCCTTAATTTATTCAGTTGTTAACGGCAAATCTCTTTCTATATCCATCACGGTAATATAGAAATGCCGACGCTGTCATACTCAGCTTAAAATGCAAATAAATTTGTTTCGTTTTAAAAGTCGAACGGAAAAAAAATGTGTTTTGAGCATCACAAAAATAAGACAAATGAACACCAAATTAATTATGTATGAAATGAGCACCAAAAATAGTATTTTTACAGAAAACAACAACACAGATAATGGATGCAATCAAGATCAATTTGAGGGTGGGTAAGAGTTTGGATGTAACTATCTCAAGATAAATCTTCTCGACATTATATTTTGTTTTTTTGAACGATTTTTGCTTCTGATTCTAAAAGCATATTAGATAAACGCAGTGAATGTATGCCGAATTGACCAACTTATTTCGATAACAAAAGTACGTATTTCATATTTCTAGATCAATGAACGGGAAGATTTCCTTTGAAGTCATTTTCATGTAGATCGAACGCTTTGAACACGAATAAGAGCAAAGCCGAGTTCATTGTTGTATAGTCAATAGAATAGATAACTATTACATTCGAAGACTCTCAATAGAGTGGTAACCGAAGTGTTACACTTTGCATGGAACACGATATACTGATATGGGAATTTGCAGAACAAACTTATTTGTTTATGAATGCGATATCAACAAGGAAGGATAAGAACTGAAATGAGATTGAGTAAAATAAACAGAGAGACCGATTTCTTTTCTCAACTTATAAACCAGTACATATTTCGATATGGTGTCCATTCAGCGAAAAACATATTAGCGAAAGGCTTTTCCTCGAATTTTTTTCTTTCCACAAAGATCTTTGTTTCTTTATTGGTGACAGAATCTCTTTGTAGTGAATGCGCATTCAAAAAACAACTCTTGCTATTCTATTTTCTTTGACCTACTAAACTATTTTATTTCTTTCTCCTTTGGGTAAATATTTGACTACATATGATGCTATCTCACTGATAGAAACTCTGTATTTTCTTCGTTCAACTAATCGAATATAGTTGATTTCACATCGATTTCTATTACGATTTGAAATCGAGGTAATTTTTTTCTCCTTTATCTTGAATATGCATATCGCCTTAAAAGATCGACGACAAAAGCTAAGTATTGAGCTTTTCATGCGACCGGCTATGCAGCCAACCTTCATGCGGAGAAGATCGATCATTTTCTCAAGACCAACGGGCATCGTTACTATAGGTTTATCAGAATAAATCAAACGTCGAACTAGTAAGAAGAAGGTCAAAGATCGAATACAGACTGGAACAACTGGAGTGCCTGAAATATACTGGAAAGAACTTGCTCGTCCTAATATCTCTCAGGCTGCCTTGCCTCTTGCAGCTGTTGCAATGGGTACCAGTGAGCTCTCATTGTTAGGGAATTTCAAGTGGTTTTCTATGTTCCAAAGCAGATTGAACTTCTCATTTACAGTATTACATTCCCTGCTTTTCCTTTCTTTTCCCTTTACTTGTTGTCTATGCGTACTATGTTCTTTGTTTACTGAGTTTGGCTGAAACTATACTCTATTTGGTTACTAGTAGAAATTTCGCTGTTTCGTCTTTCGTTATTCGCGCAAAAGTGCTTTCGCTATTGCAAGTTTTTCGCGAATTGTGCTTTTTGCTGATATTACGTTTTGCTGAAATTTTTTTCGCTAAAAAGCCTTTCGCTGATTTGTACCGATACCCATATTTCTGATGTAAAAACACTTAGAATTGTAAGTAAGGATATGGCATCATCTCATCCCGAAAAACGACAATATTCAAGCAATAGATTTTGTAATAGTTGTGGCATCTTCGAATGAAACAACAATATATGAAATTTGTACAGTTAATCTAAATAATATTGGTAGAGTATTTCTGATTTTTCTATTAAATGTAGGTACAGCGCTCAATTTCTGTGCATTTGTATGAACTATCATAACTGCATTTCATATTACAAATCTTTGCTATAATTTGATCAGATTTTTTTGTCAAGTTTCTATTGCACATCGTCTGTTGAATTCAATTGCGAAAACAAGTCATAAAAGTCTTGCACAATCAATGATGCACATTCAATAAATCATACCATACCATACTGGAAGAATTTTTATGATTTTTCTGTTTTTTAAAACGATAATGGTTTTTCGTATTAAACATATTTTTAATTATCCATTCAAATAAAATCAGTAGACGTAACAGATGGCATTTTAATTTGATATGAATAATTTTGTTCATTCATTAGTCTGGAACTAGTAACTAACAATGGATCAATAGCAATATATCTCGTAAAAAGCAACAGTAACATATCTATGACACAATGATTCTATATATGTCGGTGATGTGCCGTGTACACATGGACGTAGCTTCATTATCAAAGCTACAGCACATGTTTCAATTGGCGTTAGTTTCTTTTTTCTCGTTCTCTTTTCTTTTTATGCAGCAAGAGGAAAGAAAAAATAAATCTTTTTATCGCTGTCTCCATGTGATAAACTGTGTTGGAGAAAAAAGCGATGCAGTTTGGATTGTCTGCTTCATTTTGGTGTTGATAATCGCTCGCAAAGAAAGTCTAGTCGTGTGCCGATAATGTCTGTCTTTCTATCTACTCTTCGGAAGCAACTCTGTACAACAAATTGTAAGACACTCTTTCTCGATTCTACACAAAGACATCATCGTTGGTTTGACGTTAATCATATTCTTTCCAAGTCATCAACTAAATTCCGAAGATCAACACATCGATTGGAGATTATTCCTGTTGATTCCCGTATATTGAATAGTGATATTCATATCTTAACACCTGATGGTGTTCTTCACGTCCATCATGGTCCATTTGATCGAGCTGAAATCTGTCGTGAATATAATGTTGGACCACGTGATTTACGAAAGATCGATACCGATCTCCGTATCAATGTTCCTGTTATCAGTGTTCGTCATGGAAAATTGATTCTATTTTCGTTTCGACGCCATCGAGCTATTGTTCAATCTTATCGAAGTATTTTCTTCGTCCCATCGAATGAAAAAATTCCTTTTGAACCTTTTGGAATCAAGAATGTCGCTGAATGGGAAAAGATTACTCATGCTTATCGTCGAAATGTTCGATATATTCATCAAGTCTACAATCAACGATACATTACAGAGAATACGAAATCATTTTCTCAAATGCCATTCGAATTACAAATTATAGAAATCATTGGAGAATCGATAGCATATGGACTAAAATTGAAAACTCAAGATATTCTCATGGAATTTGAAACAATACGTCAAAGTAGTTATGCTCGAATAAGTATTGAAAGTCTTCGTGAACTTGTCTTTATTAAAAGTAAAGTCGATAAACATCACCGAAACGCTGATCTTGCACATCAAGCTTGGCTCGATTTACTTGCTTATGATCAAGATATGATCGGATTGTATTTGACTGAAAATCGGCAAAGTGATTCGTCTGATTTAAACGAAGTTGAACTTTTACTCGAATCTTGTGCGAAACAGATAGCTGAAGTTTGTCGATCAGTTTATGATCTGAAAGATTCTGTTCAAAATATCGAAAGTACAACGGGATTTATGCTTGATGCCGTCAGAAATCACCTTCTAGCTTTTGAAATACAAATCAATATCATTACAATGGGATTTGGCATTGGAGCATTTATAACAGCTATCTATGGAATGAATCTTTATAGCGGAATGGAAGAACATCCACGTGCATTACTTTACGTTGCCACTATTTCCTCTTGTTTCGCTGTTACATCAATTGCTATAGGAATTTATCGTTTATTCAAATACAGAAGAATTAAACTTCATCGCCCGAATTAAAATAAATTATCAATCTTTATTTTTTTTCTTTTCATCGAAAATAAAAGTTGCTCGTAGAAGCTTTTTTAGCGCATTGATAATGATTTTCTTCACAAGATATCTGTTATTTGACAATGTTCACTGGTTGAATCTTTATTGAGATGATTATCTGATTGAGCTTAATCACTTTTTTCGGTGCAAAAAAGATTGTAAGTGTAATGAGCGTCGTTGTTTTTGGTTCTGTAGACTATTGGAAGAACTCCATTCAGCCGATACAGATTACAATCTACAGATTCCAAATCGAAACAAAGACAGAGGAACAATAATGTTCTGTTGTTTTCAACTTGGCTCAAGTTTAAATGAAATGGAAATATATCTAAGATCGACAGTGAGGATGTCTATCATTTTCCACAAATCAGGTTCTCTGAATTCATCCCTAAATGAAATCCACACATAGGGATAATTAATCAAGTAACGTTCATACTGGTGACCCAATAGGGATTTTAATTTAGGGATTTTTTTGTGTACTCAAAAAGTGAGTACACTACTAAAATCGGTCAGTGTGTCCGGCCGGCCGTCCGGCCGTCCGTCATCCGTTTATTCGATAACTTTTGAAAGGAGAGTCAGATCGCGATGAGATTTTCTACACAGTTCAGTCTTAACAATATCTCGGTCGAGTTCGAAGATGAGAAGGATTGGCCGAGCCATTCCTGAGTTATTGCAAAAATACTCATTTTTCCCTATACATTCCCTATGGAAAGATTGAGCCATTCCCGCTTTCGTAAACAACTTTTCCTATTCTGGTCAACTAAAACCCCAACTATTATATACCATTCGATAGAGAATTTCAAGAGCTACAAAATGGTATATAAAAAATAAAGAAACAAGAAGGCTGACTCATCTATCACAAAGATAATTAAAGAGAACTAGGTTATATTTTTGTCCACGATCTAATTGATCCACAATTCGAGCTCTATCTTTCGGTCACAGTGATGATGCTTCGAGGTTTTCTGAGGTGGAGAACTCGAATCTGTATTCCACTCCCGTCGAAATACTATTGGTTGAGCAGTGACCAATAGAAATCAAGTTATAGGAAAAACGACTTTCTTAGAGTAAATCAAAGGAAATAGTTCAAACTTGAGCTGTATTCGGTTCCAAGTTCTATTGGTTTGGCAACGCGCAATAGAAATCAACATTTGAAATGGTAGGTTCCCCCGTATAATTTCATGTTCAGACATTCTAGGATGACTGATCCGTATGATTCACTTTTTGAAGTACACATAACTCTCGGATTTAAATTCGAAGTTTCCGCATTTATTTTAATAAAACACATGCAATACATATTGTCATCAATTGCCATCCTGCTTCTACCATACTAGAAATGGTAGGTTACCATTTGCTCTTAACTCTGGTTCCCAGATTCGTTCCTATATCGGGCCCCATTTACGAACAATTAAGCAATTATGGCCAATTCTGGTGACCAAATAGGTACTTTTATTTAGAGACTATTCAATTTAGGGACTTTTTTTCTTAAATACACACTATACCATATAGAACACAATTCAACATCATCCTGTACCGTGTTGAAATGTTTTATCAATGAAACCAAATATTGTGGCGAAAATTCTAGTATGGCCAAGTACTTTCTGGTCACCAGAATCGTTTTGTATTCATTATCTATAGTTATTGGCATACGCATTTCAACTTCAATTTTCTTACTTGTGATAGTTTGCGTTATGTGAAACATATGATTTTTGTATTTTACCCTAAAATGTTTTGTTTTTTTTTTCATACTATTAATCTCTTTTCTTTTCTTTATGCTACACTTTGGTAGCAGTATGATCAATCGTTTTTTTAAATAATATTTAACAAATTTAAAAACAACACACTTGTAGATAAAAATTAAGACAAATTTTTCAAGCAAACCAAATATTTTCGTCACAATCTCACATTAATAAATTTGTGTCTAGTCGCTAGAATACAATTAAAATACAGTCGTAGATTCTGTTTGCAAAATTAACTGTGCTGCCAGTGTGAAGTTTTTGCTCATTTTTGACACACTGTTTCATCTCAATTAGACTTGAGCACTACTTTACCTTAAAAGAGAATGTCAGATTAAATTTCTAAATGAATTACATAGACAGATTCACGAGATGAGACGACAAAAAAAGGTAAAAAGTTAAACGTCTGTATGGTATTTTGAATCTAGTCATCGGATTTGACATTCCAACGCACTGCATTAGAATAAGAGCTACGCTTTATGAATCTGGTCAGCACATTTGATATCACAATGCTTTACATTAGAATAAGACCTATATCCTCTTTTGAATCTACATATTATTCTTGAATCTGGTCACCAGATATGACATCACAGTGATTTACATTAGAATAAGACCTACATGCTATTTTGAATCTAGGTATTATTCTTGAATCTGGTCATCAGATATGACATCATGACGCGTTACATTAGAATAGCAGATCTTCAGTTAATCACAAAAAGTCCCTAAATTGAAAAGTTCCTAAATAAAAGTCCCTATTTGGTCACCAGAATTGACCATAGTTATTTAATTGTCCTTAAATGGGGACCCGATGTAGGGATGAATCTGGGGACCAGAATTTAGGGCAAATCATGGACATTCCTAGAAATCTTGTACTATGGACACCAAGGATTTTAACAAAGATATTTTTGTCATTAAATCTACTCTAGTCACCAGAACTGCATTATACTCATTCTTTCTATTAGCTTTTTTATAAGCTTAAATTTCATTTTTTTTTCCTGTTCTTTACACATTATGCAAATCGAAAATAGAAAACGATGTGTTGTCAGCAAGGGGGAAAAAGCGGATCCCGGATCCCAGGATCCCAACGGATCCCGTTGGATTCCGTGGATCCCATTGGATCCCGTGGATTCCATTGGATCCCGTGGATCCCACTGGATCCCACTGGATCCCGCTGGATCCCGCTGGATCCCAGTGGATCTCAGTGGGTCCCAGTTAGGGGTGGCGGGTTAGCATTAGTGTTAAGAAAATTCTAATACTTTTGTATTAAAATAAATAATTCATTTAATACTTTTGCATTAGGGTTAAAAAAATAATTTAATGCTTTGGTATTAGTGTTAATTTTGTATTAAAAAAATGCTAATACGTATCATGATTATGCAATTCGTTTATAGAACTATCATTGTAGGTTTACCGTCAGCTTCTCTATAGTTGGATTTGCTTTGTAACATTTCTATACAGAAAAAATGTCATGTGTGCACCAGGATGACATACATGTCCACTTATAGTTCTTCAGAAAGTATAAATAATTTTATCAGATATCGATACTGTAAAAGAAAAACTCGATCTAAAGGTCATTTAGCGAGAATGACTCATATTTTACTTGACTTTCATATATAAGATGCCAACATGACTGAATATTTTTCGATGAAACATGCAAAGTCTTTTTTTTTCATTATAATGATTATTATTCTGTAAACGTTTGCTTAGTATGTGATGTTCCTAAGCTCTCTTCACAGCTATAGAGCACAAAAAATTCATTCGAATAGGATCACTTCATGTGTGTCACCTCAATAAAATATAATTATCTAAATTTAGCCCTGTAGATTTGATTATCAATAAAAATGAAAACATGGTAAATTTGTTGAACATCAGTTGATTACATTTCTAGCTATGAAGTTATTTTAAAAAACCATTAGGCACTGAATATCGACTGTTAGTTCATCAGATCACACGTAATAAAATGGAGAAGAAAAAAAATATTATACACATTCTCTGTTTGATATTAGTCTATATGCTTTTGGTGCAGAAAGAGAAGGCAAAAGAAGAGAAAAGAAAAGACTATGCGTCACCTGTCCGGCAACTTATCATAAATCAAACCAAAGAGAACGACTAATAGTGTTATGCTTTGTTATTTCTTTTTAATATTTTTCTTTGTTTAGTTCGTCCGCTGTAAAGAACGAAGTCAGTGTTAAATAAATGCTTTATTTCATAGTCGTCATTATTCACATAACAACTTCGACGTGTTTCCTTGCTTTGTTGTTTCTATGTCTGGTGCAAATAATCATTTTCACTCGCGTTTGGATGCTTTACCACCACATCCTCCAACTCGTTCTAGCAGTTTACGAACTCGATCATCACGATCGTCTACTACAAATCGTATCTTGCATCATACATTGCCTAGTCGATCTCCATCATCATCAAGAGTTGTACGTCGAAGACGAGAATCATCTATACGTAAATTCACTATATGAAATAAATGAATATTTCATTTTATATATCTAGGAAATTATTTTAACTATTTATTGCAGCTTCTGTCAATGTTTATGGATAATAAGACATACTAGTAACAGAAAAGATGTAAATATTTTCAAGTAAATGTTAGATAAAAGCACCATGATAAAGAGTCTTAGCATCTTTATATATGGCACAATAATATAATTATTCAAGTTTTGTGTAGAGGATAACATGCGCTGTTTTCATTCTTGCTGTTACCACTTACCCACGTAAAACAATTAGGGTAATAATCACATTAAAATTGATTTAAAAATGATTAAAAATCGATTCTAATCATACGCTTGTGATCAATTTTCTATCATTTTTTAATTGATTTCAATCAAATTTAATCGAGAAAATCAAAATTCTATTAATTATTAAGATTAATTTCGATTATAATCGATTGAAACGAAAAATTTCATTGTAAGCAATACAAATCCATGAAAATCGGCTGCAGATTATTTTCAAATCTCGTGATGCAAAAATCATTATTTTCATTTATTCTATTAAGTTTTAATCGATTACAATCGAAATTAATCTTAATAATCAATAGAATTTTGATTGGTTCGATTAATTTTGGTGAAAATCGGTTGACAGCGTATGATGATAACCGATTTTTAATCTTTTGCTAATCGATTTTTTTCTGACTTTTTATCATAATTTTTTTACGTTGGTATATGGAAGAAATATCAACAATATATCTGTTTCTAGTTTCAGCAATAAAAATTTCTTGTGTTTAGTAGACTA